ATGCTGCCTACCTCTCCACAAACAAGTCCAATCCGCAGAGAATCGCTGAGAGGTGGGTCCGGCAGCCGCTGCAAATCGGTCAATAAATCCTCTATCCCGCATGGCCCGCCCAAGTCACATTCTAACCCTTCTTGGTCATCGTTTCGATTTTCCTCTTTTTCCATCAGAATTTTCCGTCGAGCTTCCGCCTCTTCACGCAGTTTTTTCGCCTGCGCTAAAGGATCCATCTGCCCAGGAAAAAGCGGGATATGCGTTCCCTCCACGTCTGGCGGCAAGTCTTCAATTTTCTCGCTGTTGTTCGCCTTTTTCTTCCCCCGTAAAACCTCAGCATCCTCGCAAGCAGCGTTCCGAGCGGACATCCATCGAGAACGCATAGAATCCAAATGGGCACGCTGCGCGAAAATTCGCTCCCGCTCTGTGTACCTGATCTGAACTATGACATTCACAAACAAATCTCAACAGGGCCACTCTTGAGCACATTGAATATCAATATACTATATCTGCAGTTGTGCACTCATAGAGTTTCAACCATAATTGCAGTACGAGTCGAATTCATGTGGCACGGAAAAAAACAATGATGTTATTCTCCGAGATTAATAAGAATCAATCTGCATATATATCACATAAACAATGTGAACATTGCCATCAACATATGAAAATGTGATAAAAGTAACCTTTCGAGATTGTGATAGCGAATTGGAAACATATTGAATTGGCATGCACTGTTAACTAGGCACCACCATCCTTATTACAGAGTATGCCAAGCCGATGGGCACTTCTTCTCCATCTGAGCTGGGTTCCGCTTCCCAGAAAATCCCCCAACTTGAATGAGCTGCCATGGGAAAACCAAATGCCGCCATTGCATCCTCCGCTCCGTCGCAATACGCAGACGATCGATCGGGACCAGACGGACATCTGCCGCAAATGAAAATTCGAAGCTCTCTCTCGCACCCCATAGACTTACTGGGCAAAGCCTCTCGAAGTTGAAAACCGATCGCCTCCAGCCGGTCGCTAGAGTCCAAAAAAGTCGGCTCCCGATCAGGTCTCGATCGCCACTCATCGAAATCTGACCAGCATTTCCAGAATGATTCTAATAGTCCACTATCAGACGATCTCATACACCAAACGATAGATCCTGACTCGGAAATTTCTCACCGAACGAAAATACGAACTCAATATCGCGCTCTATTCACCCCTGAGGAAAGAAGGTCCTCGTCACTCAGAAACTAAAGCGTCGAAGTTTAAGTGAGACAAACTTCTCCAAGTAATTTCTCTAGTCCGAGTCCTCATTACCTTCTGCCGTTAACCTGAACGACTTTGAATCCGCCTCCAAGTACACAACCTGTGGTCTGAAGACCTTCAACACCTCCAATGCGGCATCAGATGTCTTCCGATTGCCGTGAACAACTCCGACCACCCGTCCGAGTGCCCTACGGCCCTTCGGAGGCATTACCAGGAGGACACCAAAAACAACCCGCCTACCGTAACTCCTCCAACTTTCAATATTCGCTACCACCGACGCCTCCTCAACTCCACAACCCAGCGACCAAAAACCCGTCTATTGACTTCCCTATACAGCGCAACACAGCAGCGTACATCATCATCATCATCATCTGCGACATTACGATGATATACATACGTTACGTTGATCGTCATCGTCGTCGAATAGGGGTAGTAATAGTCACACATTGCATAATAGAGTATAGAATAGCGGTAAACCTTAATGACCGTCAACTCCGGTCTTCGCGGTGCAAATGTCTTCTCGTACGGAAACTTTTACCATCCCATCAAGTTGCGAACCATATCACGTTCGGCTTTCAACTCTTGTATGTTACGCTGGAGCATCGAATATCCGAACCTGAAAGTCCTCTATCGGAAGACAGCACAAGCAGGCATCAATTTTACTCGGTCATTTCCAGGCCGCCAACTTTGGTCCAACTCTCACCATCGGTGATGACGGGGAAGGAGAAACACAGATCAGTATCAACACCATACCTACATGCGGCAAGCTGTATAGCAACAGGAAGTAAACTGGGCATTGGCACATTTTCAAGAGAGACGAAACCGACAGGAAAAAAGTGAGCTCCCTTGCTAGAGCACGAGCTCAGACTAACATCGAGGTGATTCGACTGCACAGTGGCTTTACTGACAAATTGGCGACTTACGAGTCAATCGCATAGCTCTCCTTATTCTTCCCAATGACAGCCATAGACACCCACTTATTGTCGGACCCCAGTGCCCAGTCGCGCATTTGGTCAACGCACGACATAGCCGCCGATGGAGCAGAGGACTTGCCTGAACAGACGCACCACATACCCGAGGAAACACACTGTACAGACAACCTACCAGCAGCTTCGATGATCTCCTTTCCTCTTTGCTGAACACGAGTCATGAACTCATTCTTGATCCAGTCAGGGTGAGGGACAAGATCCTTAATCTGAGGGGAAAAAACGAAATACCATCATCATGAGTTCGCCATCACAAATTTTTGATGTTAATGATGATCAGATGATATCTGTTGAGCTCCTAAAATCAGACCATGTGCAACTCACTCCATGTTATTATTTGAGTTTCACCCTTCACATGAAAAACACTAATGAGAAACATATCTCACATTTCACTTTGCCGAAACCAGTTCTTTTTCGATCGCGGAAAAATATATGTCCTATAATTTGCAGGGAGTATTACACCACTTCCAGTGAAACGAGTGGAGCTCCATCATTATTCTAATCATTCTAATCCAGCTATAATGGGAATGCCGCGACAAGCTCGAAGCTCACCTTCCTCCCTCTGACGGTAGCATGGTTGACATCGGGATACATATTTGGGGAGTGATTACCCCAAATGACGAAGTTGTCAATATGAGTCGGATGAACGTCCAGTCCCTCATGATGACCATTGATGCAATGAGCGAGTTGGACCAGACCTCTGTTGTGATCAAGGCGAGTCATCGCTGTGAAGTTCTCAGCCGGGACGTGCCTGAAACACACACGTACACCAGGGGCCTCGCACCCAGCGTTAAATGAATCAATAACGACTCATAGCCTTCTTTAATCTATCGAATGCCATCCGTACATACGACTTTGGAAAGATATGTGTAACGGTGAGGGATCACAGCAATTCGCAAGCCGATACGACCATGGATTTGCTGCTGAAAACTCACTTGGAATTGGAGGCAGCAATGAGAGCGTTCGTGTTGGCAGGATTGCCGACCACCACAACTTTGCAATTCCTATTAGCAACTTCACCAAGAATCGAACCCTCCTGTTTGAATAAAGCTCCTGATACTTGCAACAGGTCCGATCGCTCCATACCTACTATGAACCTATCGATCATGCACCAACGACGATTCCCGCACATACCGGCCTGACGTGGCGGCGAGCCGACCAAACAGGCGTAGTCAGCATCGCCAAAAGCCTCCTCGTAATTATCAGTTGCGACCACCTTAGCGAGAAGCGGGGCACAGGTATCTTCCAACTCGAGCACCAGACCACGCAGAGCTTCGCGGTCTCTAGAATATAGGTGGAGGATTACAGGTTGATTCACACCTAAAACATATCATACTACGCACAGCGAAGATTCTCCATCGCTACTACCAAGCATATCGCCCATAGCAATCCTGAATGCCAAATTGGTACCGACGGAACCTCGAGCTCCCGTAATGGCGACCCTGGCTGGCGGAAAAGTCCGGAACTTCATTTTGTGGAAGCCGGCAGCAGCAGCAGCAACTGTTTGAAGTCTGGGCATGCAGCGTGTAAGCATGCTTGGAGTGGTGGTGAAATGATAAGGTGGAAAAGTGTGAACTACATTGATACGCATAACCGCTCACCAGCCCAATCAGGCCAGAGCTGAGCGACACCTGACTGTAGACATTTGTACGCAGCTGTTGAGTCCTCCCCGTCGTGTAAACACCCTTAGAGAGGAACAGACCCTGTTACTCTACGCGACATTTCACAAGCATCCAAGCGTCACAGGTGAACAGCGTTGCACTGTGAACATTTTTATAAGGAGCGTATTTTTTTCTTAGGCAAATTCAAAAAATCTGTGTTTCTCGTTAACGAATAAGAGTTTTGAGCAGAAACTTTAACAGGATATACTTATTATCATCATACATCACATGTTGAGTCGAAACGGTCATGTTCGGAACGGTTACTGATATATCATGGCGAGCGAAATAATCACCCCCGCGAACCGTGCAGATTCCTTAGGCAACACAACTTGATCTCCTTATTATGCCACAGAAATCGCTTCTAACCGACACCGAGAAAGCCGTCGTAGTTAATAGGCTTGCTGAAGGGGCTAAGAGCGTCGAAGTTGCGAAGGAGCTTGGAAGGGACCACCGTACTATCAAGAAGTACCTGGAGGACCCTTCTAAGGTGTACCAGAGGAGAGGTGGGCCGTACGAGAAGTCTGTTACGCCACGGGAGAAGAGAAAACTCAAGAGAGAGATGGCTAGAACTCCATTAGCCACCAGTAAGGAGTTGTTTGACGCGGCGGGGGTGAGTAAAGGGAGCAAAAGCACCAGGTGCAAGGTGCTGAAGAGCATAGGGAAGGTCTTGAAAGCCAACCCCAGGCCTTCCTTGACGAAAAGTTTTCGTCGAAAACCCATAAGGAGAAAAGGGTGCGATGGGCGAAGGATAACATGAAGACGGATTTCTCGAAGGTGCTGTGGACGGACGAGTCACGAGCGACGCTGGACGGCCCCGATGGGTGGGTCCGAGGGTGGATTATGGATCGTACCGCTTGTCCGAGCCGATCCAAGCGTCAACAGGGAGGAGGTGGCGTCATGATTTGGGCCGGAATCATCGAAGGGAAGGTCGTCGGTCCCGTGAGAGTCCAACAAGGAGTGAAGATGAACTCGCAAGAGTGAGATAGAGCCTACGGCTGGGATGATGCAGTAGTGAGCCACGCAGGTACACTAAACTTCTCGACCAGTGCTTCTTCCCATGGTATCGGAAGCTCGGGAGGGTGGCCAAGCGTGACCTGATATTCATGCAAGACAATGCCCCCTCCCATGCCAGCAAGTTTACCAAGGACTACCTCGAGAAGAAAGGATT